CAATAGGGTATATAAATGATGCCAAAATCTTCCATTACACTTTCCTGCATTTTGCACTTTAAATGCAAAAATGCATTTTGTGTGAATTGCTCTTGAGTGATCTTGTCTTTTGGTTTGCGCACATAAAGTTAAAAAATGAAAGCAGAAAATAACCTGTAATTAATTAACTCGATGCATTAACAAAAAATTGGCTATACGACATGTTAATTTAATATATAAAACCATTTAGGTTTGATTTCATCAAAAATGACTGCTCTGATATATATACTGTTGTAAAATGAATCATACTGTGATTTAAGACGTTGGTCGTGATGCCAGAATTTGCGTTTTTGAGCAAACCGTTCCTTTAAGCAAGGAAGCCTTGTGCACAAACCACCGCGCCAGCAACACATCTTAAAGATGTTTGCGAACAGTTTTGGTCGTCTTGTCAAAAAGAGCTTAGCTTTGCACACCAAAGAAAACAGCTATATGTGTGATGGGTGTTCCTCTCCCTGTGTAGGTTAATGCTTCCTGTCACCCAATAAGACAGCAGAGCGCGTGGTGCTGTCTATAGAATGGTCCCCTCCTCTTTTTTTCTCTCTAACTATGCGAGTGTTGTGGTTTTTCTGATCTATTGCTTTCTTCATGTACTAAACTTTCATTTTGTCATGCATCAGGACTTCCAACGGAACTTTAAGAACGCATTTACTTCTCACGCAGAGTTAAATGTTCACAGGCGTCCGAGAGGGCCGCGCACTGGTAAATGAGGATGTGGGGAACGAGAATGGGGAGAATGGTTCCAGTTGTGTCGCAACACGTCTGGTGCAGCCCATGTGCGGATTTTTTTAACCTTTTGATCAAATGAAAAGGTTGCAAATGGCAACTGTGATCTGATTCTGAAGGAGGGACTGCACACGTTCACGAGCTGATTCCACATCGAGAACCACGGGCCCGTCAGTGACTCATATCAGATGACTTTGACACTTTCAACTTCCTCAGTCTTCCTCTTCACATCAAAGATGTCCTCACAGATATTTCTGCCTCTGACCTGTGGCGTGTTATCCACCTTTTTCTTGTCGTAAAAATGGGCGTGGCCATTTGTAAATTCTATGGGGTCTGGCTTCCGGTCTCATCTGCGTCCACTCCGTCCAGCTATTTTTAGCTGAACAAAACAGTTCGTTTTGTAGCTTGATATTGAAAGTTGGTGTGTCTTATCATATTATTTTAATGTATTATCTTAATTATGAACACACTGGTTTGTAGTGCAAACAGTTTTACCGTTTACTGCACGTTGTTATTCTCCTCGTTATTTACCTATAGTGGCTAATGAACCGGAAGTCTCACCCATAGGCTTACTTCCGCGTTGAAGAAAAAGGTGGATAAAGCAGATATGAGCGATATTAGTCACTCTCTTCCTGTTCTGGAGAGCTGAATGAGTGAGTGAGTAAAAGTGAAGAATCTGTATCCTACCAGCTGAGTTCAAGAGATGCCGTCAGCGATGTGGTGATGAGCTAAACTGATACGCTTTGTTAGCGTTCATAGAAAGTTGGATTCATTGAACAGTTTCGGTACACAGATTCCTGCGTCAGTAGATGCGCAGCGTAAACCAAGAGATGAATTGTTCACGCACGCTAGAATATCAAAACTTTACATGATGTATGAAAACCAATCTCTTTGACACAATATAGAGAATTTATTCTGACTAAAAGGAGGATAGGATGCTGATTGGTCAATACAATAGCAATGACAGATCTTATCTTTTGTTTTTGTGACGTATATGAGAAAGGATTATTGAATAAAATGTAGGATGGGACTTCCGTTTGTTGGTTGATTGGAGAAGTTCCACAAATGTCACAAGAGAAGTCTGTAGTTTCACCAGAAGATAGAATTATGACATTTTGATTAGGGCTGTCGCAATACGTCGATTTTATTCGTCCATTCGATTTTTTTAAAATCCTCGACTTCAGTTTGCTCGTGTCGACTAACCGGCAAAATTACAGTGGCTATAGCGTTTCTGTCTTAAAGAAATGGCCAAATATTAAAGATTAAGTGGACATTTGAATGAAATGGTGCTTGGTTAATATTAAACAAGTATTAGATCGCACAGCAATGTGTAAAAAGAATCATCAGGCCGTTGGCACCCTCTGCAGGCCTTTGTTGTAATGCGTAATGTACATTAGCTCTATTGTTTATAATACATTATGTATTTTAACAATTTTGTTCAATAAAACCATATGATTTCTTGCTTTTGATACTTTATTCGAACTTATTATTATTGCCTCATTGCTATTATATATGTATTTTAAGTAATTTTAAAGGCTATTGTTCACTTACATATTTGTATTACCACAAAAAAATAAATTATAATTATAGGGCACTATGAAATCCGTTTTATTTCCAAATTCAGTTTTTTCCATTTTCATTTTTCTATACTCCGTTTTAATGGTTAAATTAAATTTTATTAATCAAAAAGCCTGTCTAATTAATTGAGTTTTACAGTTTTATCTTTACCAAATTCTGTTTTCCATTATTTTCTGGATTCCATTTTAATGGTTCCATTAAACTTTAATAATCAAAAGCATCTCCAATTAATTGATTTTATTTAAAAAAAATAAATTAAAAAAAATACTGCACATTTAAAAAAAATTTTTTTTATTAAAAAAATCCGAACATCAATAAATATCACGCAACAGATTAACCTACCATTAAGTAACTTGTGCATTGTTTTACTTACTTCTTTTTGACATATCCGACCGAACTACAAACTTTCCAGTGATGTCTGTGAGAAAGGGATATTGCACCACCCTGCACTGATTTTAAACAAATAAATAGTTTTTGCCTATGCATGTTCATTCATGCCTTTTTATTTTTTTTTTAATAAATTGAGTTCCGATGTCCTCTACCAAGGACATAGCATAACTTATGCATGAAATATCTGTTGTTGTTTTTTTAATGCTCTAAACAATGTAATGACATCAAAAAATACAAATTTTTTCCTAAAATGTTTTGCCGGGTCTTAAGAGGTTAATGAGTTCACACGTAATGTAAAGACTGTTTAATTCATACTGGAAGCCGGAGGGCGCTCTTGCACAGAAACGCCACATATCCATAGCAGAAGAAATACTACTGACGATGCTCCAGGAAGGTATCCAGTTATCGCTGAATAAAACGCACAACGGAGGTAGAGACATTTTAACTGATGAAACTTGAGGAAAATAAACATACGACTGCACAAAATATATGGTTTATCTGTGTTCTTCAATCTTGGGTATTTTTATAAGGAAAGTATATTTATAATGCAATGTTAATCGACATGGCCTTTATCACTATATAATACTATCATTCTGTAATATGAAACCACGTCTGGTCACAAAAAGAAGTATTTC